ATGTCTAGAGATATGGGCCTGCGTCAATATATAGTGTGAGAAGGAATCTCTTACTCTTTAATTAGGTCAGAGAGACTGTAGCTGTAGGATTGGAGTTGTTGTATGCGACGGACTGCACGTAGCAGTGAATATAGTTATAGTGATCAGCATTCGTATTCTGCCCGGTATTTAAGCTCACACTCTCGGCTATAACATTTTATCAAGTAAGTAAACTTCTTTACATAATACACTTAATCTTTGCCTCTAGCGTATTTATATATAATAAATTTATATGAGACCCAGCAGCGTAACAAACAGACCCAAACACCTTACATGAGCAAGTATATGAGTACTGTGTTGATACATACAGTATAATTGGCATTACGGCGTCAGCGCCTGCATTGTCACATACTAGCATAAATGCGTAGTAGAAACAAACACAGATCCATACACTGTTAACAATACGTATACTAGTCAGTGGTCAAGAGTAGATATAGTGATAGCATATTAAAGCGTGCTTGCAGGCGAATACTTTCATTCAACGCAGAGAGAATTTTAAATCACGCCCTACATTACGGTGGCGTAGCAATTAGAATATACATATAGCTGCACAGGCTGTATAAGAAATCCCTGCGCCGTATACTCCCTTGCTTAAAGCAGATGATATCATACAAGCGCGCTTGATAGCACTCTCTTACTTTAGTTTCCGGGCATGCACATATTAAACTTATCGTTCTGTCGGCAGACATATACCTATAAAAGTTAAAGCAATCTCATTGCACATGCACGCTCCGAACGAACGCTCATATTAGTGACATATACATGCACTCATATATACATACATTTAATTATTTCTTCATTACTTATGTCTTCTGTGATATATGTTTAGGATTTAATAGAATATTTTCTTTTTTTTCGGAAACAAATAAACACAATAAAATAATAGTAGAATTTTTTTATCACACGTACTTATAGAATGTAGGATAAAAATAAGTAGAAAGAAAAAAAAACGCACTTAAAGTAAATTATACTACTAAGAGAATGGTCAATGAAAACGATGATGCCGACATTATAGTAGCTAAAGCGCTGATATAGTCTCTTAATACCAAGTTCTCATTTCAGCATGCGATTAAATCCATCCCTATATTCGATGGGAAAAATATTCCACTAAAAGATTATATACAAGATGTTAGAAACGGAGAAAGCTGGGTCAGAGATGATCAAAAAGATTTGTGTAAAAGAGCAGTATTGCAGAATCTACGAAGTGCCTCACGAATAAGCGTAAGTGGCTAAGATTTTGAAAGTCTCGAGGAATTTATAACACATTTAAAAAAAAGGTATGCAACAGGAAAAATGTTGCTTATTATCAAACTCAGCTGCAGAAAGTGCCCCAACGACAAAATCAATCGGTTGGTGAATATTATGATTACGTAAACCTACTACTGAGCGGTGCTGAAAAGGCCTTGATGGAAGATAAAGGCAATACATAAAACGCGCCTATAATGACCCCTATAAAAGACAAGGCATTAAATATGTTCATAAAAGGACTAGCATCTATGATAAGCCAGCAGGTAGATAAAAAGGAACCTGCTTTCTTAGCTGATGCCATTTTCATCACATCAAATAACACAACTTAATGAACAACAGATCGACAATCAGAATCATCACGCTGATTAATAATCAGTATAATAATTAGCAAAATAATAATAGACAATATAAACAATCTAGTAATGCAATCTAGTAATCTCACGGTAGTATAATAATTAGCAAAATAATAATAGACAATATCAACAATCTAGTAATGGACAAAATTACTGTGCAAATTATCAGAATCAGGGGAAAGATTGGAATTTTACAAATCAGTCAAGAAACTCTAATTATTATCAGAATAGTCTTGGACAATATAGTAACGAAAATTCTAACAATCAAGGATACCAAGGCAGAGGTCAGAACTATAATATATATTTCCAAAATAATAATTGTAATGATTATAACCCTAGGAATAATGAAGGATACCGAGGCAGAGGTCAGAATTATAATACATTCCCCAAAAAAAAATTATTATAATGGTTATGACCAAGAAAGTTTCAATTCTAATTATCAGAATCAGAAATTTCAACATCAGTACCAACCAGAAGATGACCGTTTGCCGCATCACTTAAACTCTCAGGCGGCTCACCCCAATCGTCGTTCGGAGGTGAGCCCTCAAAGACAGAATTTAACCCCTACACCAAATGTTTCAGCGCAAGTAATGAACATAGCAACAGAATCAAAACCGTCCACATCGTTACGTGCCAAGGACTTAGCGTAGACGACGAGCTTACAAGCATAAGGATGTCAATACCAGAAGGGAAAGATCGCTTTGTCACACTCATGCTCGATAATGGCTCTGCCACAAACCTGATTAAATAAAATCATGTGCACCCATATTCACGTGTGGAGACTAGTAAAATTATTCGTCTTACCGGAATTACACCCCACTCAGTTTTAACTAAAGAAACAACGTATATGACTATACAAGGAAAACGTACAATTTCCCATGCGATTCCTAACGATTTTCCAAGCAAAGATGGTGGTTAATTGGGTCGAAACTTTTGTAAAGAAGGACGAGCCACATTATCGTATTATCACGACGCTACAGTATTAGATGATGACGTTATGAACCCCATTTCTTTTTTAAAAACTCTTGAAGAAATACAGCGATTGGGAAGGGATGAAAAAGAACAAAAAGCAATAAAACTTAAGAAACAAGCACAGGAAAATTAAATTTGAGCTACCACTCTTACTACTGACAAAGAGACAGAGGCTTAGGGATAAAATTGACCAACCAAAACTTTATGATGAATACATCGTAGGTCTGCCCAAAAGGTCAAATATACCTAAATATGAAAAATTTGGAGACATAAAAGCTGATTCTCATTTTCGAGATAAATTTGATAAATTGATTTTATCTTAAATAGATGATAATTTTATGAAGCCCAGTAATAATAAAAGTGATAAGAGTGAGATACACAGTAACAATAATGAATTAAATGACTAAGATACACTCCGATCCCATGCTATTAAACAGAGTAAAAATGCACTTAGTGTAGAGCAACATTGACTTAATAAGGAACGAAAAATCACTAATAAACCAACTAAATATACGATGGAGGCTCGAACACGTCAAGTAGTAAAAATAAATTTAATCACTACTAATTTAGCTAAAGGATACTTACCACGAGTCGACTTAAGGCGTGATCATATTCATTTAGGAGAAGGAATAGAATGAGAACGATGTTACGATTGAAATAAGCCCAAGAAAAATTCTACCCTTCGAATATGTTGCACCTAAATTTTATTCCGAAACTAGTAGCGAATATGAGAGACCATATCAAAATCAAACAAGATATTATAAAAAATCTGGAAGAACTTGTGCAGACCGGTCATTTGAAATTGGAAGAACAAGACCAAATTTATCGACTGATTTCCGAATTTTCAGAATTTTTTTTGTTACCAGGAGACCCCTTACCCTGTTCTAATCTTGTTGCGCATGAAATCTAGATGGAAAATAATATTCATATTACCACTAATTTATATTGTCACCCGCTGGTACATAGAACAGTTTTAGAAGAGTACGTAGTGAAAAAACTTAATGATGGAATAATTAAGCCTTCGTCATCACCGTATAATTCACCCCTCTGGATTGTTCGAAAAAAACCTGATAGCCACGGAAATTCAAGATTGAGGGTAGTGATTGATTTCCAAGAACTAAATAAAGAGACCATTGGTGATGCATATCCATCGCTCAATATCACTGATATTATGGACCAGTTGGGAGGATCCATATATTTTTCAGTTTTTGAGTTAGCAAGTGGATGTTAACAAATTCCTATGGCTAAACATGATAAGTATAAAACAGCATTTACGACACCCTATGGACATTACGAATACAGACGGATGTCCGAAGGTTTGAAAAATGCACCTGCCACGTTCCAACGACTAATGGATCTCATCTTGAAAGGTTTATTAAATTTTGAAGTTTTAGTGTGTTTCGATGATACTATTATTTATGCAAAAGATCTAGTAAATCATAATCGTAAAGTTAGGTTACTTTTCAATCGGTTAAGATTAGCGAATATGGTACTCCAGCCAGATAAAGTTGAGTTTTTGCTAAAAAAAAATTAATAATATTTGGGCATATAGTAAGTCAACGAGGAATTAAACCAGACCCTAAAAAAAATACAGGCCGTTAGAGAATCTCCCCAACCAAAAACTATGAAAAATATTGCACAATTCTTAGGACTAGCAGGATACTATAGACGCTTAATTAAGGATTTTTCAAAAATAGCTAAGCTATTATCGAATTTATTAAAAAAGAGGGAAAAGTTTTAATGGGCTGAAGTACAAGAAAATAATTTTTAAATACTAAAAGACCATCTATGTCAAGAGCCTATTTTACAATTTCCTGACTTTAGTGAATCATTTAAGTTGACAACAGATGCATCTGACTACGCTTTTGGAGCATTATTAAGTCAAAAAAAAGATGGGTTTGACCATCCTGTCACCCATCTTTCAAGAACTCTAAATAAAGCTGATATAAATTATTTTATGATTGAAAAGAAATACTTAGCTGCACTGTACGCAATGCATCATTTTTGTTTGTATTTATTAGGAAATAGATTTGTTCTTGTAGCTGATCATGAGCCATTAAATTGGATACTTACAAGAAATGATCCGGGTCAGCGATTATTGCACTGAATGTTTAAATTCACCAATTATGATTATACTTTCAAATACAAGCCAGCAAAATGCAATACCAATGCTGATGCACTATCTAGAAATCCAGTAGGACCATTTTTTTATGCAGAAAACAATACAAACAATGGATTACCATTACTAATAGTTATGATGATAGGTCGATAAAAAATAGAGGAAAAGAAGAAAACAGAATTACAAAATCAGAGGGAAGGGATAGTAAGAACATTCAATTTAACGACTACCAAACCTAAAACACTACCAACGACCTTGATACAGTGGAAATGACGAAACCTGGGAGAGTGGCCAAATCAGAAACAGATGTACCTAAATCGGCCAGAGATCCTGGACGACCCCTTGGTTTCAGAACTAACAAGAAACGGCCAAAGTCAGATCATAGTATGATTGCTGAAAGGACTCGAACAAAAACATTTTCATAATCACAGACATCATCTGCATCTCGACCGTGTTTATTAAGAAATGTCACTAAAAATACCAAAAAAGGTTCTAACTCAATAAAAGTGAAATTTTCAAAAACAATAGCCTCAACATCAAACGCTAGTGATCCGAACACAGAAACCACCGGAATAATACCTAGTAGTTCCACAAATAAGGAAATGCCACAGTTACCAGTTAGGAATATAACTAACCTTCGTGCATCATCAAGGACAAGTATGTTTTCCAAGGACGATCCAAGTGAAACTGAAGAATCGTCAGAAAAAGATACACAACCAACAGTATATGACCTTAGACGGAGTGAATTACATCAAGAATTAACTGAAACGAAAGCAGATTCAAGTACAGATACTGACTCAGACTCAGACGCGACAAATACTGAAATCTCCGTTAAACCCATTTCACTCAGTAAAGGTTCAAATGACGACGTCTTTGAAGACCAACCTAAAACTACGACCAGTGATATTGATGAGGTTACCCATCAAGAAATACAAAAGTTAACAAAAAAATTTAAGCAAAGTGTTTAAGAGTATTTAGATAAGTCTACTAACGATGAAAAACCCGAGCAAGCTGATACGGATTTTTTATCAGTAACTAGATTTTCTGATGAAGACAAGCCGGATCCTGAAATTCAGGACATATTCATCGAAATGGACACCTATGATCCCAATAATTTTGATGATTCTGTATTTGATAAGAAAATTGCAGATCTATCAAAACGTACAGTGAATTTGAACCCCTATTTAATGAAGATGAAATTTTAAGAAAATATATGACGAGTGGAAAATNTTTGATGATTCTGTATTTGATAAGAAAATTGCAGATCTATCAAAACGTACAGTGAATTTGAACCCCTATTTAATGAAGATGAAATTTTAAGAAAATATATGACGAGTGGAAAATTATTAACTACTCCTCGTATTTAAGAAAATACACACGAGTACTATTATTGCAAAAAACAGACGGTCTAAAGCACAGAACTTGGAACGAACAACAGAAGAAACCACAGATAACTTGAATAAAAACAACAAACAAATAAGCTGCAACACAAACAAATCAATAAATCGAAGTATTGCACCTGATTTCATGCTATCATCAGATTTATACCCTTTCTCACCAATCAATCGATACAAACAACAGTACGGAAAGATGTATGTAAGTTTTAGTGAGAGTAGAAGTAGTACTGACAATTATAAGAACGTAAATAGAGCCAAGCTAATAAACAACGTTATTACCACCAGGTATTGTCTTACGCACAAAAATGACAATATAGTTTATTTTATTAGCAAAGATTGTCAACCAGTCACATCTATCTCAAAACTGTTGAGATCAACAGGAGCACTTGTCTTTAGTTATTTAAAAAATGAAGAAACCAAAAGTTGACCAAATATTAACAACACCTTACGTAGGACATAACTTACTATCAATCGTTCTTAATGAAACATCTACCGATTTAGTAACTTTAGAAAGTCTTATAAAAGCTTTGAAATCACTTAAAAAAATATTGTTGAGACGAAATCTTAAAACTTTCCGAATTTCAAGAAGGGGAGATCTTACAGACAAATTAGAACCTGGATTGATAACAGTAATATTATTAATAACTTTTGATGAAACACCTATACACATTACTGCCTGTTACGGTAAAGTTGATTCTCCAAAAATTCAAGAACGGAATGAAATAATACAAACTCTACATGATAGCCCTGTTGGAGAACATAAGAAAATAAACCAAGCTTATCGGAAAATAAGAGAACGATTTTATTGGCCTGGAATGAGAAATGATATTCTCAATTATGTTTGTAAATGCAGCAAATGTCAAGAGAAAAAAATTGAACGAATAAAAACAAGAGAATTCTTGGTGCTTACAGATACACCTATTAAAGCTTTGGATTAAGTTCCTATTGAAACCGTAGGTAAATTAAAAATAACACCAAATCCTTATTGCCATTTGCTAACCATACAGTATAACTTGAATATGTACATCATATTAGTCTCTGTACCAGACCTCAGATCAAGCACGCTTGCCGATGCACTCGTACAAAATCTAATATTAGTTGACAGTGCGCCAAGAGAAATTCTACCAGACAGACATGCTACATTTATGTCTAATTTATTGGAACAACTCATGAGAACCCTAAAGACCCATCATCTAACTACATCCGCATATCATCCGCAAACAAACGGATCACTAGAGCAAAGTCATGCTGCCCTAGCTGACTTTGTAAGAACTTACTCTGAAACTTATCATTACTGTGACAATTGAGCCAAATTTGCAGCCTTCACGTACAACATGAGTGTACATGCAGCAACAAACTTTACTCCCTATGAATTAGTATTTGGGAGACTAGCCAGGTTGCCTTTGAAGATACCTAAAGATGAAAAGTTATAAAACTTATCATTGTATTTACAATGTCTTATTAAGCGACTTCAAGAAATGCAAATTACGGCAGGAAATCAACAAATAAAAACGAAAATGCCAGCAAAGACAAGACACGATTAAAAATTAAAGCCTCTAAGTAGTTAAAACCAGGAGATTACATTTTAGTAAAGAAAGAAGTACGTTCCTATAAATTTGATCGCTCTTATATTGAATCTCTAAAGGTTAAAACAGTTTTAAAGGGAAATAATGTGTTACTTAAGAAAACCCACTGTGAAATCATACAAAATCATAAAAATAAATTGAAACTAGTTTTACAAGTCTTCTAGAAAGAATGCGGATAACACAACAATGGCAACACAACGATGCGGATTATATTATCCATCTTAATGACGATAGTGCCTAAAGGTTGCGCAGATTTCAACTATGCTAGTCATGGAAACTATAGCATAAAGCCACTCGAAACAAACCCTTAAAAATACTATGAACGAACTGGTTTAACAAAACTTAAAAGAACTAATTGGAAGATGGTGATATGGCTTGATATTAATGAATTTATATTGGAACACACATCTACTCAGGGATTAAATGAAACCTTTTGGTATTATAATGTACAGTTTGGTTATTTTAATTGCACTTATTATATGAAAATCAACCTCTTGAATATAAAGATGAAGCGATTGACAAATCTTAAAGCAACATCATTGAACATAATAAATACTGTGAGAACTCATGCGGGAGATAACATTATTCCACCACCCAACACACAAACAAAAAGACTGACACTTTTTGGAGTTATTGGGAGCATAGCTAAACGACTTTTCGGCTTCGTCACAGAAGACGATATTAACGTTATGAACATCAACATCAACAATTTGCGTACCGATCAATAGGAATATATTAAATTGTACGAACAAAATAGTCATTTTTTGGTAGCTGCATTTAAAGAATTAAATAACACTACGAAACGCCATGAGCATATTCTAAAACAACTTACTGATCTATTGACTTCAGGACAAGATTTAACTTTCGACAGATATCTGATTTATTTATCAGCTTACCTTAGAAGAACTGAGGCTTCCTTGATCACATTATTCGTTCCCAAGAAGATCTCATTGGCAACTTGCATGATTAACAAAGATATCAAGCACATCCAAAGCTATTTTTTCCAAATATATTTAGAACCGTAGCACGGATATAAAGAACCTGAATGAAAATCTTAAATTTGGAACAGTAAGAGAGAACAATTATGCTGGTCAAATAAGCACTCTAAGCAAATTAGATGTCATGCAACGAGAAAATAGAACCATGGTAATGTTACATTTGCCACTCGAAGATCGAACCCACTATAATCTTTACAGACTCCATCCAGTTATGATACCCCAATCTGGACAAAATGGATCTGCACGTATAAAATCATCGTACCCTTGTTTAGCAGTAGCAGCAGACCATAATTCGTATTAACGATTAAACGAAGTTACATTTAACCAACGTGATGAAATGGTATATGGTTATACAGACTCTGCTATAGTACCGTTAAAAGACCCTTTTCTGTGAATGAATCCGAAATTCTTATGCTATTACAACCTGGAACAGAAATTTTTAAATACTGTTAAATCATATTTACATCTTGAACAAAAAGTCAATGGATCAATTCATTAGCTGATAATTTATGGTCATTCTCGACAATTCTTGAAGAACAATTAAGCATTTTCTGCCCTAACAAAATGGATCAACAAAAAAGAATAAAAGGTATAGGTCTTTTACAAATGAATGATAAGTGTACGGGAAAATCACACAAATTGACCTTAAACTAGTAAACATAAGATCCTCAATCAGATACAATATACCTATTGAGCAGAAGTAACTTTAAATTTAACTGTATTTTATGAACCCCTCAATGATACCAATGCTTTTCATGACGCTTAAGAATTTATTTGAGAACTACTCTTAAATCAACAAGCATGAACAAATGGAGAATTAAATGTACATAATATAATAAATCAAATGGAGAAAATATGAACTCGAAAATTGGAGAAAAAACAAACTTCTTTTTTCATTTCAACAGGTTATGGCATTGAAGATATTATTATTAAATAACAACAATAATACTCATCAGCAAAATAAAAAGCTATTTTAAGACGACTATGAACCGTAGTGTCTCAGGAAAGCTTATAAAACGCACCATTAATCTACTAAAAGCTAAACCACGAGTAACCATAGAACAAGTACCAACAGAACGTGAACCAACTGAACTTAATGTCGAAATTGAAGCAAAACCAAAAATATCTAAATCATCTTAAACTAGACCTATAATAAAGATACGGAGTTTTATACTCCCACGCCATACACCCCAAAAGTTAGAAATGGACTCATACATCAAAAGTAATTTGATACTATTTTTCTTCCAGGCTGCACAATGAACCCTGATTATGAAATAACAATAAAGACTAGTCGACGTAAATCATCCTTTACATGAAGTCATTGAACAATGAGAGAATAAAAGAAACATTAAGGAAATGCCCATACTTTCGGATTTACATAGTTATACACATCGAACTATAACCGCCATTTACAATAGTGATTCAGTTCATAAAAAACTCGATGAAACACTAAAAATAGGAGAGAAAGCTCAAGAATTTTCTACTTTTTTGATGAAATCCACTATTTGTCAAGCAGATAGGATTTCTTCATCAATATCACCAAAAAGCGACAATAACATACCAAACATCGATCCAAAAAGACTTATGTGTCTTCTACCATGGGACATAGAAGAAGCGAAAAGGGAAAAAGATTTCTTTAATTGTTTCTCTCAATTTGGTACCCTAGAATATTGTTATGTCATTAGAGATCGGCTACAAGTTGAGTTAATGACTTATCGAAGACATGTGATTACATGCAGAAGACAACGCTGTGCACAAACCTCAGAAACAAAGTCAACCCGTGCTAAAATCACCGATCTACGAGAAAAAATCAAAAGTAGCAGAAAATGAACCCAATAATTGAACCCTACTATTCAACTAGCCACATTCTACGTCGAAAAACACATTACTTAGTTTTAAGATTTTAATTCTAAGCTTTGAAAAATCAATGAGCAAATTACATTTAGTTAATTATTATTGTCTCATATGCAAACTGTATTAGTAAGTACAGATATCACGTATTCTTTTCTTTAAATTGCACTTTGTTGTTAAGTTTTATCTTTAAGATTTATATGAAGTACTTTTTTTTAGCTTTCGCTTGTTAAAAAAAAAAAATATAAATAAACAAACAAATAATTAAACATTGTCCATTAGTTTCATAAACCTAATTTTATTTGCATATTTACATTCCACATATAACCTGCAAACGCTTACAATTAATAACAGCACGAAATACACTACAACAGTAATCATACATATACAGTATCAATCAATAATCCTCATAACACCCATCATATTTACGCTTGCAGAATTACATACACGATGGACAAATCGTAGAAGCAATGGCTGATGGAACCCAACTTAACATACTGCTACAGGGGGATTATAGCCGGCTCATGCTGAACCAGATCCTGAAGAGCTTCAGGATAGTGCTGTCTATAGAACGCGAACCCTGTACTAGAGGTTATTCAAGCTATGTGGTGGTGTTTCGTTCACCACCGGAGGCAGAAATAGCGGCTGACTATCTAAATACAGCGCCAACGCTACGGGAGCTACTAGACTTACTATCTAGTTCATCGGATAATGTGCAAAATCAGGTAACGTCAAAGGCACCTTCAGAAGTTGCCTCGGAAGTACCAGAGAAAGTGTCCGGGAAGTACCTGCCAAGTGCCCGGGAAGTACCCGAGAAGTACCCGCCAAGTGCCCGCCAAGAACCCGAGGAAAAGCCCGGGAAGTGCCTGGGAAGTACCCGTCAAGTGCCAAGGAAGTACCCACCAAGTACCCGGGAAGTACCCACCAAGTACAATACTGTCGGGTACTTGCCGGGCACTTCCTCGGGTACTTCCCGGGCACTTCCAGGGTACTTGGCGGGTACTTCCCGGATACTTGGCGGGTACTTCCTTGGGTACTTCCCGGGCACTTGGCGGATACTTCCCGGGTACTTCCTCGGGTACTTTATGGTTACTTGGCGGGTACTTCCCGAGTACTTGGCGTGCACTTCCCGCGTACTTTGCGGGCACTTCCTCGGGTACTTTCCGGGCACTTGGTGGGGACTAAATTCGATTAAATTTAACTTCTGTATGTTATTAACTATTTTTTATTCTCAATGTGTCAGTTAATATTAATGGTTAAGTTTTAACTGAATAAAGATGTACATTAAGCAAACTTTTTATTAACGTGACATTTTTTAATTATTATTCAATACACTAAAAAGTTCATGATTTTTTTGAATAGATGTTATATAATTTTTGTTGAAACAATTAAATATTATTTAGAGCATTTTCTAACTGAATAAAGATGTACATTAACCAAACATTTTCTTAACGTGACATTTTTAAAGTATTATTCAATACACTGTAAAGTTTACGATTTTTTTGAAATTATTGCAATTTATAAATGGACTCGTTCTAAATCGTGTACAGACGACATACCCGGGAACGTAAGCGAGACATACCTAACAACAATATTTTTGACCGAGAGCTCGACTATTTTTGCAAAAGTACTATCGTGTAGAGTGGAAAAATCCCTACTGATATGAAATTTTACTTTCATTCGAGGTAACATTACTTAAGTATAAAAATTTAAAGATATTTTTGTCCAACATGAGAGTGAGAAAGACAGTGAGCGCGTGGATAAACAACTGACAATATAAGGAGCAGACAATATTTACCTTAAGGTAAAAATTTTTACATCCAACCTTCAAGTTACCAGCAGTAGCTGACGCTCTTGCGTGCGCACATGGATATAGTTCTCACTGCTTTCCAACTAAGCTCCAATAACAATGTGGCAACGTCGCGAGTTCATGCGGGCGCGCTATGGCCTTCCAACCCCATTTAGGGGTAGTTTGGAACGTATTTTCAATCGGCTCTC